AAGTACAGTTTTCCCTCCTCCATCTTTTAAGTGTATTATATGGATTATGCTCCGTGTATGTGGCATAGATATTATATGGATTCCTTTCATATTCAATATGGTATAATACATTATGAAATCATTAACGCTTGTGACCAAAGCCTCATTTCAAAAGCAACAGACAAGCCTTAGCAGGAGGAAGATGGTTTTGAGCGCCATTTAGAGGAGAGTAAGAGGGTGGGGACAGACCCCAGAGGAACCCACGGGGAGCGGGGGATGCTGCTCAGCCCAGCGCCTAAACCTCCTTCCTCTCTGCTTCAACAGGCCCCCGGGCGGCTCCAGCTTAACGCCCCAGATCATCTCAGTTCTTGCAAAGAGTCCCCCTCCGCCCCGCCCAATTAAATTGGCTCTGCACTGGGCTTTCAGCTCCCAGGTCCCGAGTTTCGCGCAGCGAATCTTCTGGCAGTTCGCGGCCCCGCGAACATCTCGGCGCGGCGCGACCCACGTGTCCGCGAGGGGGCGCCAGAGACGCGTCGCCGGGGCGCGGGGGCCGCGGTGAGGGGCGCCGCGCGGTGCGTGGGTTTCCCGGATCCGCGCCGCCCAGGGGACTCGCGCCGAGGCCGAGGTGCTTCGCGTGGCGGTCGCCCGGGCTTCCGGGCGGTCACAGGCCGGCGGAAGCCCGCGCTGCCAGGCCTCGGGCACTGGCTGCGGACGCCCAGACACTCTGTCCCTCCGGCGGAGACCCCCACGGGCCCGACCGGGGAAACAAGCAGCCTCGGTCGGGCTTCTCGCGTCGACGGGGACGTCCCTCCAGCTTCCTGCCGGGCTGCGCAGGGGACAGCGACCGGAGGCGGCGCGTGGGAAGGGGTGAAGGAAGCGGGGGTCGGAAGATGGCGCGGCCGACGCGGAGGCGGAGATGGGGGGAGACGGAACCCGAGGGGAACCCCGAAGCCCCCACGTCCTGTCTTGGGACATCAGAGTCCCCGGGGCGGTGGGAAGAGGACAACCGAGAAGGAAAGGGACACTTCTTTTCCTGGCCGGCATTCTACCTCAGGCTGGAGCATCCAGTGATCGGGGGAGGTGACGGCCCTGCCCTGTCGCTGATCCCCAGGTGGCTTCGATCTCCTCCCCAAGGGACAAACCTGAAGAGACCGGCCTGGAGAACGTGAGCCCGGGCCTCGGGGCGTCCCGCAGGAGCCGCCCTCCGTCCGGGCCCGGGACCCAGCGACCCAGGAGGGAGGGACGCGCTGCCCGTTCCCGCGTCCCCCTCGGGGACTGTTTCAGGAGAGGAGGGCTGGGGTGCGCGTGCCGCCCGCGCTCTCGCCTCCTCGGGAGTCGGGTCCTCGACACCGGGTTCTCAGAGCGGCGCGGCCACACGGAGGTGGCAAACAGAGCCAAGGGGTCGCGCCCAGCGGCAGGCCACTGCCACCCCGGCGGCACGGTCACCTTCGACCTTCGAGAGTCCGCTGAGGGAGGAGCAAAGACCCCCAAAAGCTCACGCGGCCCCAAGAGACCCGGGAGCGCACAGCTCTCGGGATCCTCCCGGGTTGGGCCCCTGCCGCGTCGCTAGGCAACGACAGCAACGCAGGACAGGACTGCGGGATGGGGATGCGCGTGCCCGCGTTATAACCGGGAAAGGAGAGATCCCGTGGGACCCTTGAAGGCGGTGGCACTCGCGCACCCGCAGCTCAAGCACGCAAACCTTTAAACTAAACATTTCGAGTAAAAAATACTCAACGATAAGCACGAGTGTTAAACACAACTTAAAAAGTTCGACCCAAAAAGAATAAACATCTTACCTATTTTTAAACCAGAGAAATCAGGGGAGAGCGCGAACGCAGTCCCCCACTACCACAAATTATGCAGTCGAGTTTCCCACATTTGGGGAAATCGCAGGGGTCAGCACATCCGGAGTGCAATGGATAAGCCTCGCCCTGGGAAAACCACCTTCGTGATCCTGGTATCTCCCCTGCCAGGTAAGTATGAGTTGTCCGCACGCCGCCCCGCCACAGCCTCACGCGCCTCACACTGTACACCCACGGTCACTTTGCTCCCGCTCCCGCACCTCTCCTTCCCAATCCTCCAGCCCCTTCGTACAGTTCTTCTGATAAAATTCAAGCGACGCCCCTGGACTTTTTCCACAACCCGGGGAAGTCTACCGCGGGGAAAGAGACCCCTATTTGTCTGATTAGCATAAGGCACGCCCCACTCGTGACGTCTAGACCCGCTCCTGCCTTCCAACCCGCACTGCGCCGCGCGCCCTCATCCTTCCTCCCTCCCTGCCCAGCTGGCCAATGAGCGGGCCGGATGCTGGAGGGACAGGGACGTCGTGAACCCCGCCCGCTTGCGGAGCTGGGGGATCCGCCACGTGACAAAGACGCAAGTTTCTGACCAGCTTACCCTTCGTTCTGGGTTACACACCAAGGCTTTTTTAAGTAAAGAAAGACGTTGTAAAGCAATGTATACAAATTCTACCATTTGTACGAACAAAGTAAAACTATGCGTGTGATGTATAGACACCCAGATTCAGGTTACATCTCTGAGTACTGCTCGGCGTATTTTCTCTGCACTTCACACTTCTCATAGAATCTCAGGGACTATTTTTTCCTTTCCTCGCTCTAGACAATACAAAAAATGAAGATTCTGAAAAGTTACTGGCTAAAATAAGGGAAAGCAAGATGAGGTGTTGTTCGCAAGGTGAGGTTTTTTTGTTGTTTTCTCTCACGGACTGGGTTAGACCTGACAGCGGGGACGGGGCGGCGGGAGGAGGAAGCTGACGCAGTCCTCAGACCCGGCAGCAAGGAGGGGAGTAACGATCCCTGAGTGTTGTGGCACCATCAATTCTAAGACCCACGGAGCCAACTGAGATGAATTATGAGCCTTTATTTTCCGGCCGGCGACTGACTCTCTACCACGCAGGGTTCGAGGAGATCAGCCTCGAGCTCCCGAAAGAGGCAGCTTGTAAAGCCCAACCACATCCTAGTTAACGTCAAACAAGCAAGCAGGTTACAGAAGCAGAAGTCGGCCGTTAGCATATCTTTGCCCAGAACCACACCCTTAACGCTGAGGATGCCCTTGGGTTGAGGGCAAAGATGACGCTTCCGGGAAGTGAACTCAGCACCAAGGTGACACAGGGGGAACCCTCCTTTTTTCCTTCGCTCCTTCCTCCCTTCCCATCTCATCCTTCCCCTCTCCCAATTCTCCAGCCCTCCTCCTCTCCCTTCTCTCCCTCCTCTCCCTCCATTAGAAACAGACTGGCTGATTTCGGCTGTTTAAGCCACCTAGTGTATGGTACTTGTTATGGCAGCTTGAGCTAAGACACGGGGTTCTTCAGCCATTGGCCTAAGCAGCTTCTCCCACCCGGGCATTTCTGGGATCTGACCCAGTTTTGCTCATTTTCTGAAACTGGCTCTCACAACCCGCTTTCCCCTTAAGGCTGATCTGTGACTTTAGAATGAGGACTGCTGACCTGGCTTATGATTTCATAGGATCATTTACTACAGATAAGAATAACCCAGGATTTTCTTGGAGTTTTGAACAGATTTAACAAACATCACCCTAGAATGACCTGGGACAGCTGGATGGCTTCTGCAGGGTGTCTGTTCATTCACTTTAGCAGTAGTAAGGTCTGAGGGATCTAATAAACCCCGTACACATTCTGCGGGTTGTCTGTCTTAGGTCGACTGCTCAGGAGATACTTTTACATGTTTTAAGTGCTACATCAGGTATCTACCATTTTTTTCCTTCCATTTTCTATATGAGGCTCCTATCCAATTCTCCCCACAGGGCTCACCACGATTCTTATTGGAATTATGGTAAATTGGAAGACATTGATGGTCATAACGACCAATTTTTTTTAAAAAAGACTGATCTCTGTCACATAGAGGGAAAGAATATAATTGACAAAAAGTTAAATATTGTAGAATCCTCCTTTCAAAGCTATATATTTTTTACAACTATTTTTAAGGCACAGAGCTACTTTTGGACATTTCACAAAGGGTGAAATACAATAAAGGCTTTTAAGACTTTTCTGCAAAAGTAATTCGTGACTGGATCCCGGCCAGATCTGAGATTTATGATGTCATATGTTGTTGCTTTCATAAATGTTATGTATATAAAATGAATTTCTTATAAGTAATATTTGAGTTCTCCACTGATTGCTGATTATATTATCAATGCCTACCAGCCCTGGCAGCATTAGAGGGAAGAATTACTGGGATGATGGAATAACCACAGAGCAAGAGGTCCTCAAATTCTGCTACTTTGTCTTTAAGTGATACTTAACAGTTTCACTGACTTTCCACCCACTCTGCTCATTCTGCCAGGAAGTTCCTCTGTATTGACAGCCTGGTGAAAGCACCTAAACCGACTGTGAAAACATATGGCAAGGCCACACCATACACAGTGAAAGTAAGGCATTTCTGTAGTTCGGGCATGAGTCTGTGGATGCATCTTTTTGGTAGTGGTGGTGGTAGTCGTGGTGACTGTGGTTGCGGTTTTCGTCCTTGCTGTTCCAATGTTTTTAACTTTCTAGGAAATAACTGTTGCTCTTATGTTAATTCTGGAAGGCAAAAGAACAGAACTAAGAACTTTCCCCAGGGAATATTTTAAAATCTTTATGTCAGCATTTATGAAATGACTTACATACTTTTCAACCAAAGGTTCTTCATTAAAGTAAAATAAATGTATAATTTCGATTCAATGTTACAGGACAGTGTTTTTCATTTTCCGCCCACCTGCATGAGAAGCAATTGGGGTGCTTCTGTAAACAATGCAGGTTCTAGGGCCCTGTACCAACTAAATCTCTTGGGATTGGAGCCCACAAAGTAGCTTTTATAATCTCAACAGCTGGTTCTAAGGCATCCCCCATTTAAGAATCTCTATTTTTAGACTGGGGATTCTTACAAAATAATGAAGAAGGAAACCTTTTCTTTTAAACTTAGACTTTAAGCATGAAACGATGAACTTCTCAAAGACTGTTCGTCTTCTGTGTTCTTACACACTCGGCCTAGAGACTGGGGCAGAAATGGAAACAAAGCAGGTGAAGAAAAACTTTTTCTTTTTTATGCACATTATGCTTTAATAGCCACCAGAAAAACTGTTCATTTCCTCTCCCAGACCCCGTCCGCCAGCTATGTTGGCCTTCGATATGTCACTATAGCAACATATATAAATATGTGTCGTACATCTATACACACACACACACATTCTAAAGCACTGTGAAGACACGGACAAGGCCTTAGCACAACTAAGGGGGCCTCTCACGTGCCACCTAAAAGTGACCACTGGTCTGCTTTACACAAGACTTTCGATGGGCTTGGTCTGGCCATTAGTCCCCAGTTCCCCAGAGGGAAGTTAGGACGATAGAACGGGACAGCATAACTAGAGTGAGGTCAGCACACTTCGGAGATCATACAAGCGTAGAAATAGGAGGCGCGAGGCTGAGCGTGAGATGGGGTCTGGGAGGTCACCGCTCTCGCCGTGTGGGTTCAGAGAACTCGGTGCAGCAGTGGAGACGGACGCCGGGCCGGAGCGACCCAGCTGAACGGCCCAGGGCCAGGTGTGGCTCCGTGATCGGTGCTGGCCCAGCCCCAGCGTCCAGCGGGGCATCGCCGCTCCGTCGTGTTGGGACCACGCGCCCCGTCCGTGGGAAGCAGGGGCCTCCTCCCCGAGTGGACCTTTGAGGCAGTCGCTGGGGCGTGAGAACCTGCTGCGCTAGCCCCAGCCCGGGGATCGCGGGTCCTCTACAGACTAGCGCGCTTCGCTTAGCGCAGGCCCGGGCTGACGGGGTCCCAAAGCGCAGGGAAGGCTCGCTGCCTGTCACTGCCCACCAGGCAGTGACCGCGCCGCTGACCCCTTCTGGACCCCAGCGGGTGTGGGGGGCGGGGCCAGGTCTCAGCAGATAGCGAGCTGCGTGACAGGGGCGCGGGCCCATCCTTCCTGCTGTTTCAAGGACCTGTGGTGGCTCCGCTTCTTGCATGGCTCCTGGAAGGTAAGGGTCACGAGACTGGAGTGCCCGGCAGAGCCCTTAGGGATTTCACCTGGGGACAAAAATAAAACAAACCAAGTAAGGGTCTATTACCAGGCCCTGCGGGTGGCCGGCTGAGGCTGGAGTGAGAGCCGAGTGGTGACAGGAGCCAGGAGCATGACAAGAGCCTGTTAAGAGGCTGAGCTGAGGGATGGTCTGCGGTCGGGGGAGCAGCTGGTGCCGCCAGGTTAGAGGAAAGCTTCCTGCCACACGTGGGGTGACAGCCCTGCGCAGAGCCACCGCACACCCTACCGCTCCCTCGTCCGGGGCCAGTTCGCTCTCCAGTTCACTTTGGAGCAAAACGGTGGCTTTTGTGATCTCTTAGGAAAAGAAGTGCTTCGTGTGACGCATGCACATATAGAAACAGCCTGTCCTGGGGGGAGAGGACATTTCGCAGGGGAAATGTCCCCTGTTAAGTTTGTGTCCCATTTACTTATGGAGGAGAAAAAGGGGCCAAGTGAGCAGGGACCTCGGAGATCATCCAGGTGTAGTGCCACCTCTCACAGATGAGGGGCAGCAGGCTCACAGAGACGGAGGGGCCGGCCAAAGCCACATCACCAGTTAGTGACAAGCCTGGGACTAGAACCCAGGCCTCGGGCCCTTTCCAGTGGCCCAGAGGAAGCAGAGAGGGACCGTCCAAGCTGCGGGGAGCTGGCGGGGACAGGAGGCGGTGGGGTTACCTTTGCCGGGACAGGAATAAGGCTTTACAGAGGCAATCTTGTAACTGTTCTTCTAAAAAGGCTCAGGAAAGAGAGGAATGGTCGGAGAAAAACAAAAGGGAATTAGAAAAAAAAAAAAGCAGAGTCTAATCAGGACCCAACCCATTCTGACACTGGGAGCAACATCCTTAGAGGATTTACAATTTAGATTTTTCTAGGCGTGTGCTCAGTTGTTTATGGCAAAGCTTTTAAAATCCAGGTAAAGGTTTAGTTTCTGATTTTTAAGCCATTTCTAACACCTCAAGTTTTTCTTTAAAGTACTTGCCAGGGACGCGTTAGTGTTTTAAGTAACTGTAGAGAATCCCTGCCATCCACGTAAAATCTTTCTCTGTATATTTCGGTCTTTATGTATTATCAATTCTCTTGGGTCAATAAGACCCAACGTTTTTCTTTTGTGATGTTGCTTAAAATAAAAAGATACAGCAAAATAAAATTGCTGTTTTCAGCCCAACAGAATGCAGTGAAGCTCATTTATTAAGTTGTGTTTTGCTTTTATTCTTTTCCATGAAGTAGTATAGAAAATGCCAGAACACATAACTGGCCTTGGGATCCCTTTACTGAAAGCGAATTCAGAAGCCGACTCCCACGTGTCCTCTGGCCTTCAAGGATCAAGAAGAGGGGTAAGTGGATTAAAGAGAGGGGAGGATGGCCAGGTGAGGGTGAACGGGGTGTCAGTGGGGAGCTGCCTGGGGCGGGGAAGCCGAGGGGATGGGGTCGGGGAGGATGCTTGTTGAGGACTGGTGCCCCTACAGGTGGGCCAGAAACTGTGTTCTGGAAGGTGGGAGCAGGTCGAGGGTCACCTGCAGACTCTGACGACAAATGGTGGTGCGTTTGGGGCAGGATCTGTGGCCCTGACTGGTAACACTGGTTTCCTTACCTCCAAATTAGTCCTTGCCTTCTTCAAGACATCATGTGTCCTGGTCACTAAAACGACAAAACAGCCCCCGAACACGGAATTTACCAACTGGGGCCATCCTTGCCTGGGTATGTGTTCTGAGGTGTGTCAGCCCGGACCTCCTGCTGCCCCCATGTCCCCCTCCGTCCGCATTCACAATTCCTCATGGCACAGTAGGTTCAGGGACATCACCCCAGTCTCCCGGGTCCCCTAGCCTATGTGGTCACACTGTCCATCCATAGCACCGTGGGGCATCCGGACCCCCCCTCCCCAACCCCTGCCCCATTCTCGGGCTTGGGGGCACCCACACTGGCTGAAGATGAACTGCTCCAGGCTCTCCTTCTGCTGCGTGGCGCTCTGCAGACGCTCGGCTGTGCTCTGCAGGAGACCCTCCTGTCGGGACAGCTTGGTTCTCAGCTCCAGAAGTTCCCTTCGCACGGCCTCTCCCTGGGGACCAGGAACAGACACCTTGTCAACGGGCAGAAGTGCTCGTGGCGCTTTAGAATCTAAAATAAGACTACAATGTTCTCAACCATTTCTAGACGGGATTTCCTCCACGAAGCCTGTAAAACCCTCCAGCTTAGGAGGACGCCTCCGGGTGGGAGCCCCGAGCAGTGGGCACAGGGTCACGGTCCCGCTGCCCAAGAGAACCCGACTCCTGGCCACTGAGGCTTCTGGCTGTGGACAAGAGCTCGGATTTCGTGCTGGAGCCAGTTCTATCACTCGGCATGGCGAGTAAGACCTGGAACTTAGGGATATTATTCTTGGGGAGACAGGGCTGGCCCGAGACAGCCTGCAGTGTTGTAAAAACCTGTGCCAACCTCAAGACGACAAAACACCCCGTCTCTCGGAATTAGCATATTTGGGTCCCATAAGGTGTCAGCGTGAGTCTGGAGCTAGAAGCCCTGAGGGGACCCTGACAGCCGCCTGTCCGAGGTACCACCAACCAGAGGGCAGGCCTGAGAGCGCCGGGGGTGGCGGATCCCCCCACGTGGATTTAAGTGATGTGGTGGATTCCAGCCGGTGGCTGAAAGAGCCTGGCTGTCTCATGGTGACATTCCGTGGTCCCGCTTTGACAGTGGGGACCTGGGGTGGGGGCGGGGGCAGGTGGTGCTGCTTTAACATGTCCCTGAAGTTGAGCTCAGCCCAACTTTAGACAATTAAAGACCCTGGACGTCTGTGGTCACCAGGGCTCTCGTGTCTCTGCCCTTATCCTGATTTCTTATCCTGGGGGTCGGGGCAGGGGTGGAGGAGGAGAGAGGATGGAGTCAGAACGTCACTGAAAGCAGCCACCATGGCGAGAGGTCTCCCCCAGGGACACTCCTTTAGGGACCTGCAGACCTGCGGGCGGGAGGAGCAGGGCGGTGACCGGGGGCGGAGCGGGTAAAGGACGCCGGCCTCTCACCGCTTCGCCGCCGGAGCCGGAGCCGGAGCCGGA